GCGTCGCATTTCCCAAATTTATATTTAACCCCTGAAAATGGGTCAAAGCTGAAACAGAATCAGATATTTAGTGTGATTAACCTCTTCAGTCGACAGAAACATGAACTAGAGAAACGAACCGGCCTGCTGGTGGGTGTCACAGGGGTCGAGCGGAGGCGAGCTCAGGCTGAGGGAGCAGGCTGACGACACCTTCCAGGCATTTCCAAACAGGTGAGGGGTGCTCTCGATCATTCCTGAGGGAGATCTGCAGGAAATCCAGATCACCACATGGAGCGTCATCAGACATTAAAACAATAATCTGGGTTCTTCACAGCAGACATACACAAGTTGGAGAAGTCATTCTTCCTTAATATTGATTTTTAAAAAAAATACTGGTTCCACTGGGAGATTATTCTGACATTTTTTCCATGCTACAAGTAAAAAAATCTACTAGTGGAAGTCGATCCAAGGAATTATTGATTTTAAAAAACCTCCTGTCTCTTTTTGAAAAGTTACTAATAAGCTATTTAAAAATTTTAAGTGCACCAAAATATTTGCACTAGAAACTAGACAAAAATACTTGGTAAGATTTTGTGTTTTTGCAGTGCAGTTCCCATTTAGCACATTAGCATTTTGGCTACCTTTGAAATGTTTGAAATGCACTTAGCTTCTCCTAAATTAATTTACTTAATTGCAGGGCTGGATGATATAAAAATGTACCACAATGTAGGTATTTCTAATCAGTCAATACTGATAATTATTGATTAGTTTTTTCTTGTTCTAGATATTTGAAATACTGCCAAACTGTTTCCTGTTTTATCCAGTTTCCATTCCATCCCATTGTTTCAATTTTTACGTAGAACGACTCACAGTGGTGAAACATTAAACTGCTGCTGTGCCAGTTCCTCAGCAAGTTGTTGCTAGGTAACCAAAGAATGAATGAGTTGCTAGGCAACCAGAGAGTGAGAGAGTTAGTTGTTGCCACCAACTTAGCTTAGCTAAAGGATTAAAGGATTTTTTATTGTCACCTTTGATTGTTTGTCGTACGAAATACGGAGTCGGGTCCCAGAATAAGAAATTTATCACACAAATAAAAAATAAATTTGTGTAATAAATAAATAAAGTAATATCATAGTAATATTAAAATATTAGTAAAGTAGTAAAGCCTTTCCTCTGCCTACATGTCCCAGAATGCCAAGCGGTTCCAATTCTATATATTGAATATTCTATCAGATGTATTGATATTGATCACGTATCTATCTCGATATATATTGTTACTGATCAAACCTACTTTGCAGTTTTATAAACTTTCAGTTGAATAAAATTTGACATCTGTTAAAGTTCTGATCCATTTCTGATGTCAGCCGTACGACAGCGATACCAGCAACCCGTCCAGTTCCCATAATTCATTGCATTTTTCTGTTTGAAATGAAATTAGCCACTGAAAGGTGGCATCTTCCTGTGAACATTACGCACAAACAGCTATGCAATGAAAAGGGACGGATGTAGCCTCAGTTTTCCTATAGCTGCCACTTCAGCCACCGGCGGTGATGTATATCCACTTACAGCTGTCAGACAACATCCGGCACATTATGGTCGGCACAGTGGAGCCCCTTTTCCACTAACAGTAAATTCCTTGTTGGAGCGGCGTGTCCAGTCGGGCGCTCATCTGGCCGGCCTAAAAGAGCTGATCAGAGAGCGCGTCTTTTGATGCCGACTCGTGTGCATTACAGAGGGGAAGAGCACTTCACCTCCCTCCTGTCACCTGAAACAGGAGTGCGCGCTCCATCGCTCTTAATCGTCGAAAGGGGAGGAGGGAAGGGTCAGCGGAGGGTGAAGGAGGGGTCAAAGGTCAGCCGTTGCACACTTACAGGAAGTCGTCTTGAGTGTTGCCATTGAAGGTGCCGCACAGCCCCACCGTGTCGTCTTTCCACGTCTCGTCGGCCTGCAGGTAGAGACGAAACTCCGTCCAGCTGTACTGCAGATGCAGGCCGAACGCCGTCCTCACCTGGAGGAACATGGACGACAGCTCCTGGATGTGGAAGATGTCTGTGGGAGAAGGAGAACGAGGACATCAAGGCTGGCTCCACACCTGGCAGACTCAGGCAGGGACCAAACCGGCAACATTTATTACATTTTCAGCTGCTGTGGTTCTCTTTCACATCGTCAAACAATTCAATCTAATTAAAAACCTGTTCCCCTCCTCGCCTGTAGGGGCACTGGACACAAAAACCACTGAAGGAAAAGACCCAAAAACCTCTGAATGAGACACTGAACACAACTTCCTTCATGATGAAACGTAAACCAAAAAATGCAGGATTTCTCTTTTGATTTTGGTTACAGACCGCAAACCATTTCTCCCGCTAGCTCTAGATTAGCTTGTTTTTGTTGTATTTATCCAGAATGCCCTGCAATGTAGTCCACTTCCTGCTTTTGGAGCAGTCATGCCACTGCTGCCAACTTATGGGCAACTAAAATCAGAAGGTACACTGCAAAAACAAAATCCTACCAAGTATTTGTGGTCTAGTCTCAAGTGCAAAAGTCTTAGTACACTTGAAATAAGACAAAACTAACGTACAAGTACATTTTCAGAAAGATATAGCAACTTGTTTTAAGTAAATAAGACATTTTTCTCTTGCTATAAGTAATCTGCCTGCAGATGAAAAAGGCAGTACTTTTTCATCAAAATTAGGGAATTATTGACTTAAAATATCTTGCTGAAAAGTTACATTTAAGTTAGTTCTGTTTTACTAAAATAGTTGCACCAGAAACTAGACCAAACATAGGATTTAGTGTTATTGCAGTGTAACTCTCTGTGCTTCACTGAATGGAAAAATCTTTCCAACCTGTGTAAAATGATAATCTGAGTTTCATTTAACTGCATTGAACTCGATTTATTTTGTAATTTCAATACATCATTTATTCTTGCATTTATTTGATGAAATTAAGGAAATTTATTTTTATTAATCTAGTGGAGTTATGATTGTTGGTTACACAAACAGAGGATGTTATCATCCAGCTCCTGGGACAGAACATAAAGTATAAATGTTGATGTTATTCATTTATGTATCAAGTATCACACAGTTTCACATTAAACAGACAAAAGAGCATTGATTTGACCGCCAAGACGCCGGCGTGTAATGAGAGCAACACTCAGAGGGGACGGCATTTTCTGCACACAATGCAGGAACTGAACAGCTCTGCATTGGGAAAATATTTCCTCAATAGCACAGCTGTCATTCAATCTGCCTCCAGCATGAGTGCTGAAAGAGTCCTGGACGAGACAATGGCGGACGGCGATGAAAGACGAGGGACAGTACCGTCAGAATAGGGCAGCGAGACGCGGTACTGGCCGGCCATGAAGACCTCGCCGACGTGACTCAGTGTGATCTCAGTCCTTGGATCCTCGTCAATGACCAGGTTAACTGATTGGATGCAGGCCCCGTCTAGATTCTGCAATCGAGACAAGATGGACGTTTTCCCAAACAGAAGAAGATTCAGGAGACACAAAGAGAGCAAAAGTACAAAAGTAGTCAGGATGAAAAACTGTCCCACAAAATGAGGCAATGTGGATACGGACCTTTAAAAGGAAACTGACACATTTAGCAACAATAAATACACTTTTCTTCTGGAATAAAACAGAAATCCAGGTTGCGGCTGTTGGAATCGGGTCTGTGCAAACTGCGACGCTTGCAATGTGCACTAAGATGTGCAACTATCTTAGTGCACATTTAGTGAAATAAGACAATATTATCTTACAAGGCACTTTTCAGCAAGATATAAGAGCTTGTTTTAATATTTCCTTAATATTGATAAGAAAGTATTAGTTCTACCTGCAGATTATTTCACTTACTTACAACAACAAATAATCTGCCAGAACTTTTTCATCAATATTCAAGATTTATTCGCTCTTTAAATAAGCTCTTATTTCTTGCTTTAAAGTTACTGTAAGTTAGTTTTGTCTTACTTCAAATGCACTAAGGTAGCACTGATCAGACTAAAATCTCATTATTTAAGAATGATTATGTGAAAAAATGTAATAAAAATGTTCTGTAAAGTGAATAAACCTTTCCTAACATGTTTAAGGAAGCATAACAGGTCACCTTTAGTGTAAAATCTGCCAATTTAAATGATAAAAGCTGCTTCACTTTCGCTTCTGAAGTGCTCTGATGTTTTCAGATGAATCGTTCCTTTCATAAGTGGCTCCACAGCCCAGAGGTTTTAGCGCCCACCTCTACCTTCCCCACTTTACCTCCCCTTCCCATCATTCACCTCCTGCTTCTCCTGCATAACCTCCTCTCTGTCCAGAGCCGCCGCCCCTCCCGCTCCCACGGCTCTGTCAGTCGGGCCAGATAAGCTAATCCTGCTGGCTGTTAGAGGTCTCTGCTCTGATGAGTGGGACATCTTATATCTCACCTCTCCCTCGCTCTGCTGGGAAACCCAGCGGAGAGGAGAAGAAGCCCTCAGTCTTTTGTCACTTTTCTTGCTCATTATCTGCTCCTGCAGTCAAAACCCTTGACTCAGCAGGGATTATTGAGCACTTAAATTCTGATATGATCTACATGATGGACAAATTGCAACCCGAGCCAACAGGAGCCACAGTAAAAGAAATATCAGGTTAGGAGTGACTCACGGCTCCGCAGGGGGCGTTCTGGATGGTGACGGCGAATTTCCCTGAGTTGCGACTTTTGGCGAGGACATACTGACATGTCGCAGGGAAGGTGAAGATCCTCCCGTCAAACGACTGGAAGTACATATCGCCTGTAACCGAGCATTCCCCTGGAAAAAAGCATTTTTCAACTTTACTTCTGCACACGAATATGCAAAAACACAACTTCTTACTAATTATTGTTGTCTAGTTTCTAGTGCAAAAAGACAGTAAGGCTTCCCTGGTAGATGACGAATAAAAAGTTTATAGAAGTCATCTATAAGCACATCATAAATAATTAATAACTGTTTATTATCCATTAAGTAAGAGTGAGAAGGAGGCTGTATGCTAAATGCTTCTTATGCTTACAAGGTAGAAACGTTTAGTGTAAATAAAACATATAGGTGAACAGATTTGGTTCACTATTTGGCAAGAAACTGGCAGATTTTGTCTCCTTCTCAACCTTCACTTTCCATAATGAAATGCTTAGAGATTAATTAATAACATACTTATTAGCATTTATAAGAAGAGCCTTATTGTAAAGTAGGACCCAAATATCTTAGAACAATTGGAATAAGTCCAAACTAACTTTTTCAGCAATGTGAGTTTATTTTAAGAAAATAATTCCCTTAAAATGATAAAAAAGGGACAAGTTATAAGTTAAATCATCTGGCAGTGGAACCTCTACTTTTTAATCAATACTAAGGAATTATTTTTTTAAAACGCACTTCTATGTCTTGCTGAAAAGTTACTTTTAAGTTGGTTTTGTTTTATTTCCAGTGTAATAAGATATTTTCATTAGAAACTAGATCTAAAATACTTGGTAAAATGTTGTGTTTTTTGTGTATTTTTGAATATGAATTGAATTTAATCAATTAATCGTCAGAATAATCTAAAGAATATTCGACACTAAAACGATCGTTAGCTGCAACCTTACTGTAAAGCATTTACAAACTATGAAAATAAGTTATTCTTGTATGACCTTTGTTAATTAAAAAATCATTATTGCATGCAGTTGGAGGAAAAGCACAAACCTGGGCAGGTGTGGTCGGTGCAGTTCCACACTCCACCCACACATGTGCTGCAAAGAGAGCAGAGAAATCCACAGGTGGATACATGAAAGGCTGAGCTATGGCAGGATTACTGGCAGAAACTGGACACACAGGCGGTCAGATCCCAGCAGATTAAAGGGACCGAATGCAGCTGTTAGGAAAAGAGCAGATTCTGTTTGCAGGAATAAAAAAATTAAACCCATGGACAAACATTGAGTTAATTTATTAAATATAATCAAATTAAGTTTGCCAAAATTTAATTCATTTACTTTTGTTTAACTTAACAAATTTAATATATCTACTTAGATAAACTTAATTTGATAACTTATAACAAATAAACTCAATTTGTTTACTTGGATCACCTGTTTTCTGACTTTAGCTGCTCAACCTCAAAGCCAGCTAAGCTAGGTTGAACTCACTCACTCTTTGGTAACCTAGCAACAACTTGGAGAGTAACCTCTGGTTACCTAGCAACAACCTGCTGAGTGGTAGCAGAAGCAGTTTACGGTCTGGAATTAAAACTGTGGATAAAACAGGAACGTTTCAGATATTTAAAACAAAAAACTAATCAATAACTATCTATAATCTGCAAAAACACAAAATCTTACCTTGTATTTTTTGTCAAGTTTTTAGTGCAAATATCTTTGTACACTTGAAATAAGACAAACTAACTTACAACTAACTTTTTATCAAGATATAGGAGCTTATTTTAAGTCATTAATTCCTTAATATTTATACACAAAAGTGTTAGTTTTCACTTATAACAAGACATTTTTCACATGTTAAAGTGAAAACATGTGCAAAATGTTTTTTTCACGTTTTCCAAATCCAAAGGACTTGGATTTGGAATATTTTCATCAATATTAATGTTTATAGACTTAAAACAAGCTCCTTATTTTGCTGAAAAGCTACTTCTAAGTTCCTTTTCTCTTATTTCAAGTGTACTATACTTGTAAAATTTGATGTTTTTGGACCCTTATACGGTGATACGTTTTTCAGTCATATCCTCCAGCCTTAAATTTAAATTAACATTGAAAAGTTTTCAATGCAATACTTTGAAACAGTAAAAACCAAAATATTTAAACCAAAGCAGAAGGGGGAAGTTATTTGATGCTCACCAGTTGTTGCATTCTTCCTGCAGAGTTTGTCCAGAGGGATAAAACATGCCGTGGTATTCACAGGGACAGTCAGCCGGGGCCACACAACTCCCTTCCTCATAAATCAGACCTGGGGACACATACACAGAAAACTCGGGAATTAAAAAATATAATAAGTTACTGTGATAACAGTAACTTATTAAATAAATTGGAAAAACTTTTATTGAATAATGCATCCAATAGTTTACCTTCAGGACAGTAGCATCCATCTAAGCAGGCCAGCTTGCTGTCTATGCATGTCCGCTCCAGGTTGCATGTCTCTGGGCAGCAGCTGATGCATTCCCTGTACTGCAGCCCCAGAGGACACTGCTTCACTGGTCACAGAAAAAGAGTTTCAAAACATTTTGACTTGAAACAGTCACAAATGGACTGATCTTGACTGTTTTTCTCAAGAAATACCTGCAGGGCATTAAGAAATAGGGATGTCCCGATCCAATCACGTGATCGAAAATCGTGGTCTAGATTCGATCAGAATGCGGCGTACATCCGGATCAGGAATCAGTTTGATATGTATAATTATTTTAAACTCAAATAGGAATAACAACAGTTAGTATCTACCTTTATGTGGTGGTAAGGAGTCAGACCAGTCAGACTGTCTGAAAACACCACATGCGCAGCACTTTGCAGCAGTGACTGCCGTAAAGTGAAGCAAAATACGCATTAGCTTGAAGTGGGAGTACAGCTGCTAACTTAGCTACGTCTTAGCCGAATTTCGTGACCCCTCTAACGACTTTATTTTTAAAAAGTGACTAGCTACAAGTCTAGCAACTTTACATCTGTGCAGAAAGAAAGAAAGAAAGAAAGAAAGAAAGAAAGAAAGAAAGAAAGAAAGAAAGAAAGAAAGAAAGAAAGAAAGAAAGAAAGAAAGAAAGAAAGAAAAAGACCTAATTGGGACATAAGGAAGTTCTAAGAGGTTTCTAATCCACTACTAGATAGGGGTGGTTATTGATTTTGATTTATGTTGTCACAATAAATTTCAATTACTGACATTAATCCCTCTCCCTCCCCCTACTATGTCCATATCCTTAGGATTTTTAATTTTATAATTTTCCCCAAAGTTTTTTATTTATTTTTTTATTGAGAATATCAATAAATGTGAAAACAGGATTAAATGCAGTTACTGTGTGCAGTTTAGTGATATCAGTCACATTGCTGTACATATGACTGGTGTCCTAAAGAAGCATACTACATATTTTTTTAAGAGTAATATTTGTTGAGATTTGATTGTTGTGTCATGTCAGCCATTACCAAAGTTACCGACAAAAAAGAAATAGTAAATCGCTCTTAATGTCGTTCTCAGTTCAATAATAATGAACTGACATTTATGGTGGTATCTGAAAGTAACACCAGCTGATAAACACTTAATTTACAATTAACAAGAAAACAAGTTTGATATCTTATATTTCCCCAACAGCCATTAACAGGAAGAAATTAACAATTATTCGTGCAACAAGAACAACTGTTTTTCTACATGTAATATTATCTAGTTTTATTATTCAATGTTATTTTAAATATATATATGTGTTTTTGTCATGCTAGTTTGATGCTCTTGGGGGCCCTCTGGTGGTGTGGGGGGCTCTAGGCAGCCATTTAACTCACACTGCATATTACCCGCCCCAAATGGTTGGTAATTTTGACAGAAAATCAAATCTTGCCAGCTACAAAGCTGCATATCAGAGCATGATTAGTAGAGTTTTGTTGTTTCTTGACTAAATGCGAGTGAAAGCGTACCACACTGAGGAATGCGCTGCCTCCAGTTGTGCAGTGGGTGGTCAGCATGGGCGCAGGCTCGAGCGTATTCGCTGAACACCTGGCATACCACATCGCCGCTGGGACCCGACCTTCAACGGAGTGAAAAGACAGAAAAGGACTGTTCGAGCGGAGCCAGGAGAGGTGTGGTTACACAACCCTGGTTCACTGGGCTGGTCCGACTCAAAATAACAACCCAAAGCCTGCGCTGCCGTAAGCAAAAAGACAAATCACTGAGGCTGTGGAGCAGATTACTGGGGCTGAATCAATTTCAAAAACACACAAATGGGTGCAAATATAACACAAACAGGCATTCCCTAGGTCAGATCATTGTAAAAAATGACAAAAAGTTCAAAAATTTCATTGTAAAATTGAAAAAAATGCAACTTTAAGTTTAATTCACATATTTTTTAAAGGAGTGAAACTATTCCAGATTCTCCATATCTCCTTATCCATTATAAACACCAAACTGCAACAATATAAAACCCTAGCATGTATTTTTGGTAACTTATACTTTTCAGCAAGATACAGAGGCTTGATTTAAGTTAATAATTCTTGAATATAGATTAAAGGTCTTGATGCTTTTAATGAATTTATCAAACTAAATAGTTTTTAATTAAAATGACCTAAATCTTATTTTTATTTTTCATAATTGAAAGAAAAATGCTCTATTATTTAATTTTAATTAGTATTTGGAAATAATCAAACTGGTAAAATAAAAGATTTTAAAAAAATCACAGTATTTTGTTTCTCCTTATTTTCCTTGATGATTTTTGGCCCTTGTGACAAAAAGTTTGGACACCTGTGGTATAGTCAAAGCCTTGTGTTTCCAGGAGGATAAAATAAAAATAATTGCAATCTCTTTCAGCAGTAGAGTTTGCAATCGGTTGTTCTTACATGCAGAGGTCGTTGGAGCAGCTGGCCATGTAGGACAGCGGGCTCACAAAGTCATGGCAGCTCTGGAAAGGCGGGTCCAGCAGCGCCGCACACACTTCCTCCACTTTCTGCAGCCAAAACAAACCAAAAAGAAAAGCTTCTCCAGACAAAACTGTAAAATACATCAGGCTTTACTTTGTTACTAGTTATTATTAGTATTAGTTATTATTCATCCTTCTTTTCCTGTCTCACCAGGAGGATTTGAGTTTCAACACCAGCGCAGGGCGACGGGAACGCAGAGGGAACATGGGGACATCGGTCCTGGTGCGGCTCCATCTCCATCCAGCTGTTCCCAAACATCTCTACGTCTGGAGTCAGCACACCTGAGCGGCAGGAAAACACTCAGCCTGAGTGTGAGCTAGCTCACATTTTACATGTTTTTATACTTCAAAAAGCAATGCTGCTTCTAAAAGCAGCCCAAGCACTTAAAAACATATATAACTTTAACTGTTTTTAGAAACAGTTGGAAGAACAAAAACATGCAAAAAGGGAATTCTGCACAATAGGTCCCCTATAATGATTTTTAGTGTATGGAAAATTTGCCATTTCAAAATCTTTCAACGAATCACATTCAACGGGCACTGCACCGTTACCTAGCAACCTGAACTGAGCTCCAGTTCATTTGGTCAGCTGGTTTTACCGCTGTACAATGGCTGCTGGAAAAGATAAAGTGTTTTGTTGTTGACTTACTATCCAGAAACCAAAACCACTTGCCACATTCTTGTTGGTTGCACAGGAGGCTGCACTTCTGCTTTTCAAAGATGTACAGTTGTAGAATTGAGAAACTGTTTGCAACCATTTTCCCATGCAAGTGTAAACGTTGAGTTGGGGGGCGTGGCCAGCAGCAGCTTATTCATATTTCAGGTGACAAGACGCCATAAATTAGACTAAAATTTCATTATCTAGGAATGATTGGATCTATCCTAACCTTTTCAAGGAAACAAAATTGGTCAGCTTTAGGTTATTATTTACCGTAGCTCGTCTTCAGGTCGTCCTGAATGTCTGCATTGAAGTTTCCGCACAGGCCGCAGGTCCGGCCCACAAACTCCGGGCTGAGTTTAATGTAGACCGATCCGCTCCGCCCCTCCCAGGCCAGCGTGAAGCCCTGCTGCTGCGTCACCAGCACATACTGGGAAATCTGCTCCAGATGCAGCTCATGGATGTGATGAGGAAGCTGCAGACTAAACAGATAGATTTTCATATATGAAGATGTAAAGTGAAGCACACAAACAGCAAGCACTGGTAGGCCTCTAACCTTTGACCTTTGAAGGTAACGCTGGCGGCGTGGAGTTGTATCTCGCCGTCCCACGGCAGGAAGAGGCTAACGGACCGCTGACAGGCGTAGGGAGCCGAGCCGCAGTTTGGGTCATTGTGGACCTGCAAATGTCCAGATCCATGAACGTAAACGTCTCATCAAATAAAGGCCAACAGGTTGGCTTTAGAAACTACTGCAAAGCTGCTGCAAGCATTATTTAAAAAACTAAACACAATCCCAGTACTCCATTAAACAATAGCAGTAAGCAGTGTTGAAATGTTCGGTTTAAAACCAAATTTAATTTTCTGTTTTTTACATGGCTATCTTCAACTAAGCACAGAATCCCCTGACAACACTAAATAGCTAACTAAATATTTAGTTACCAAGCTAAACATTTAGTTTACAAGCTAAATATTTAATTTCAAACTAAAGATTTAGCTCAAAACTAAATATTTAGTTAGCAAGCTAAATATTTAGTTTACAGCAAAATATAACTTGTAGAGACTAAAACTAATTTGAAGGATTTTGAAAAATGCACCGTTTTAAAATGAAACCTGATTTTTAATCAGTTTATAATTTTATGTCCTTCACTGAAAAGCATTGGTTTGTTTACCTGGAAGAAAATAGAATCTAAAGTTTTGCCATCATGTTCTTGGTTGTGATTGTGATTGAAAAAAAAGATCAATCAGTAATCAAAATGCGTGTTTTGGTTTTCCCAGGCAGAGATAAAGTATCTCCTGCCTTTTCCTGGAAACAAAGCCCTCGTCTGTTCCAGGTACTTTCAAGGCATTCTGGGAAATTGCAGTATTTAAAGGTAATTGACTCTAATTATCCTTTGAATTAACTTAAGAACAAACTTTCCTCAGGCTGGGATTGAAACTAAGAGGGTAATGAACCAGATAGAAAACCTTCTGAGCTTCTCAAAGTCGTGAGGATTTGTTTAGTGTGAACCAACCTGGACAACAATGCTGCCCTGGGTGGTTTCCTCGCAGTCCCGCAGCAGCGTGTACGTGCATCGGCCAGGGAAGTGGAAGTAGAGACCGTCAAAGGTCTCAAAGTTGTACTGACCCCACGTCCTGCAGGTCATCTCCCTCTCAAAGCCGAGATTTGGGACTGGGCAAGCAACGAGAAAATAATGAAAATATCTGTTGAAATTATTATAATCGTTAAAACACAATGCACGAGTTTAAGGATTTTCTAGACTGAAAAATGGGAATAGATTAACCAAAGTATTTTAGTGATGGCTGCTGAACACGAATAGGTCAATAACTCATCATTCCTGTTTGCTGACAAACCTTAAAAAATTATTTACTTTAAGAAAGCTCCAATATTGTGCTAAAAATTACTTGTAAGTTAGTTTTGTGTAATTTCTAGTGTATTAAGATATTTGCACTAGAAACTAGACTAAAAATATTTGGTAAGATTCAGTTTTTGTAGTCAGGACCTTCTGGATGCATAAGGTTAGCATTAGCATCAATTCTAGAAAAAGTTTGTGTTTTTGATTATTGGCCAATTGGAACTTCCCATATTGTGCAATTTTAATGTGGAAAATTTAATGCCATAGAAATAAGTAGATTTAATATCCATTAGAAGGGTTTTTTAAGGATAAGCAAACTGAACTGATTAAAAAAAATTGTGGCTTAATGCATCAATGCTAAGTTTGTAAATAATTTTGTGCAACTAATTCTTGTTTGCGTTAATTATTGCATTTTTTTATTGTAAAATTGTAAATATATCTACTTTCTATTTGATGTTAAAAACAAAACAAAAGTAAATAATTTCTTTCAACATTACTATTACCACATTATTTCTGAAGACAAAGACCCAAAAGCAGAGCAGTGAGAAAAATCACTTTTGCAGATGACATTTTGATGATGTCATAAAACTGATCTCTCTATGAACAGCTTTAATTTCAAATTGGCCTGGCTCTTACGCTATGAAAAGTGAAAATATGCTAAATGTATGAGTTTAAACTGAGAGATTTATGAAAGTATTTGCTATGAAATGGAGAAAAGAGAAAGCAAACTGACTCTAACTTTCTGTTTTAAAATGAATTTATGTGAATTTGGAGACATTTTGTGTGGTTACCTGTCTGACATCTGTGTCCAGTGGCCTGAAACAAGCTGCAGTCACATGACTCTGTCAAATAGCACTGTCCTCCATTAAGGCAGGGATACTCACATGGCTCCCCTGAGAGAAACCAGTAAAACCAGTAATTACCAGGCAGCCAGTTGGAACAGAAACATTTAAAGAGGATTATTTCTCCTTTTGTTTTATTTCAACATTCTAGATTCAGCAATATGTGTGCTGTGGCAGCAACAGATGACCTATTTTAATAATTTGCTTAATTTGACCACCAACGTTGGTCCCCTCAACTTGCATTAGCACAATCTGCTAGGTGGGCTTTAGGTTTCTCTGGCCAGTCAAGCGCATCATGCACAAAAGCACATATATGGTAAAAGGGACAGTGGAGATCACTCAGATCTATCACTCAGATAAATTGTTCAGTGACACCAGGGAGTCTTTAAATAATAATAAAAAGTCTTCACAAAGATAAAACATTAAAATGGAGCTTCATCGCAAACCATAAAACTGGCCACAGTTTGATTACATTAATGATAATAAACATCTATATTCAAAAAATTGTGAACATTTTTTAAAGGAGAATAAGAGAAAAGTAAAACAAAATGAAGAGAACTGAAGGAACTGCTTTTCTCTTGCATTCTACCTGATCACCAGCAGGGGGCAGTGCCATTTGTCGTTAAAAGGGATGATATCAATTTCTGCCATTCGCCATTTTGAGGCAAAATGGAGCCATCATGGTCCTTTCAAATTGGCTAAACATCAACTCAGAGAGACTTTTCACACGCTCTTTGACAACCAAAAATTTTAAGTAACTTTATATTTATACTCGGCTATAAAAAAAAAAAAGTACATAAATAGTAAATAGTAGGAGGTCGCTGGGAGTCATTTTGGTTTGAAAACCTAAATATGGAAAACGCATGACGCACTTTATGAGTCAATCTGTATTTTCCACAAAAGTCGGAAACAACTACTTACTACTTTTCTATATATTTTTTAAACTGTCTTCAAGTCCTGACAGTATGAGACAGATAATCTATGAAAAAAATCAAGCTCCTCTGCCTTCACCCAGTTCTCCCAGTCCTAACTAGAAATAACCAATCAGAAAAGGGAGGAGGGTCTTAGTGCTGTTAATCACCCTCCGTGTGGCGCTGCTCATTCTACTCCAACTTCCTCTCTGGTAGCAGAGCCTGTCATGAATGCTAAGGCTAGTTAGCATGGCTGCCGATGACGGCACCTAAGCAGTTTTTCTATAACGATGACTTGTTTCTCCACCATTAGCTCATTTAGTAACGCTTACACCAGATTGATTGACAGCGGTAAGATTCTTCTCCTGGTTCTGATTGATTGTTTTTGGCTCCCTGCCTTCTGCAATTCTTCAGAAGGCAGGGAGAAGGTGGAGGATGTTGATTTTTTCACAGATTATTTGTCTCATATACAGCTGTTAGATGGTTTTAACAAATATTTAATAAACATATTTGGCATCAAAGACACCTGATAAACAATAAAATGTCTAAAGAAAACCAGTGAAACTGGTTCAGTTGAGGCACTTTGGAAAACATTCATTCGTTCTTTCTTTTAAATCTTACCTGGTATTCTACGTTTTGAAGACTTTAGGGTCTCCTTTGCCTTCCTGGTGAGCAGCGAGACATTAACCGGCCGATCATCTGGTGAAAAGGCAGCCAGGTTTCCTGCCATTGTTGAACCAGTTGCCAGTTGGTTTAGCAGTAAAGACCCATTCAGTGACTGGTCTGAGTTTACCAGGGTTTGATTATTTGACATCCGGTTGTGAGATGTGTGTGCTAAAGCCACCGAATTTGTCACTGATTGATCAGCTGGAGCTGAAGTAGCTGGAGATTGGCTAGAAAATGTCGTGAGATCGGACTGGCTTGTTGGTTGTGATGAAGTAGCTGAGGGGCTCGGTGATGTTTGGCTGGATGACAGTTGGGCTGATTTTGTTGTAATGCCATCTGGATATGAGAGCCTGGGAGGTGATTTATTGACTGCTGATTGGCTAACGGGCTCTGTACCTTCCACTGATTGTCTAGATTTTGCTGTGATTATCGGGGAATGGTTTGATCCGGTCTTTTTAGATGATGATTTTCTGGACTGTGCTTGAGCAGGTATTTGTTTTTCAGGCGACTTTCTGGCTAATGTTGTACTCTCTACTTGTTGGATGGGGTGTTTTGTCTTTCTGGCAGGGTGAACTGGTGCAGTAGCACTGTCTTGCAATTGGGATGGTTTGGGATCTGTTGGTTTGGTTGGTGCTATACTTTTTGATGGTTTGGACATTACCGATGTGGTTGAAGACTGAGTGGTTTGTGTTATTCTATCTAGGGACTGGTTTTCTGATGAGGCAATGCTGGGCATTTGTCCAGTAGGTCTTATTCCCTTGTTGACAGATGCGGTGTTGGTTGACAACTGATTTGCTGGTTCTCTGGAAGTCGCTGATTTGTTGTTTTGGGTTGTTGTGATGGGAGATTGACTGATTGATGCTTTGGTGGCTGGTGGTTGGGTGGGTGGTCCATCTTTGTTGTGTGGTGTCATTTTAGTGGGCAGTTGGTTTGTTTGACTAATTGATGCAACAGTGGTTGTTGTTGGTTTGGAAGTCACTTTGGTGGCTGACAGTGGGCTATTTGGTTCTATAGTTGATTGACTGGTAGATGTTGTGGTCGATGGGTTTTGGGTGAATGGCATGACGTTGACATCTGATTCGCTAGTTTTCACAGTCTTAGCTGTGCTGCTTGTTGATTTATTAGTTTCTGTTGCTATGCTTGATGATTGACTAGTCAGCCCCCTGCTTACTGTTGACTGGCTGGTTGTTTGAGATTGGATACTTGAAACTAGATCGGCTAGGGTTTCGTCTGACTGAATTGTCTCTGTTGTTTGGCTAGTTGACTGTTGTTTGGGCTTTGTTACTGGGCTGACTTCTGAAGGGCTCGATGCTTCTGTAGATGATTGACTGATAGATGTTGTGGTTGTTGGGTTTTGGGTTAAAGGCACAACGTTGATCTGTGTTTGGCTGATTTTCACAGTCTTGGTTGAGGCGTCACCTGACTTACTAGTTTCTGTTGCTATGCCTGATGATTGACTGGTCAGTCCAGTACTTATTGTTGACTGGCTGGTTGTTTGAGATTGGAAACGTGAAACTAGACCAGTTTGGGTTTCGTCTGACTGAGTTGTCTCTGTCGCTTGGTTGGTTGGTGTTGCTGTTGAGTGTTGTTTGAACGGCGGTACTGGGCTGATTCGAGTTGTTGTTGATGACAGACCAGCTGAAACTGGGCTGCTTGATGAGTGACTGATATTCTCTGTGGTGTGTTTCAATTGACTGGCTTGTCCAATGTCTTGGGACTGGCTGGTCATTGGGTTGGTTTGGGATTGGACTGGGTCAGTTGTTTGGCTCGTTGACGCTGTTGTCAACCTTTGCTGAGTGTGTGGCACTGGGCTAATGTCTGACTGGTTGTACTGTGTAATCACAGCAGTAGGCGGACCAGATCTGGTCTGGAATTGGTTTGATGGTCCGTTCTCAGTCAATGATTGTTTGGTTGGTGTAGTGATTTTTATTGATTGACTAGTTGTTGGTGGTTGATTGGTTGACAGATTGGTTTGGGATTGGTTTAGTTCTGCAGTCTTAGTTGGTAGCCAATTAGATGAGGTAGTGCTGACCTGTAATTGACCGCTGGTTGGGTGTCTAGTCTCAGTTACTGACTGAAGGGACGGATGGGGGTTCTTTTCTGTATCGCTCTCCACATCTTGGCTGCCAGTTGTTGATATTGAGGATGACTTACTCATCAACGGTACAGATGATTGGTCAACGTTTTGGCTCCACAAGTCGTTTTGTGTCCTCTCTATCCTGGCAGACGTCAGATTGGATGCAACAGTCCCGCTAACCAGTGATCGCCTGGAGGCTGAAGTGTTTGTTTCTAAAGCAGAAGCAGCTGAGTGCAGGTTCTAGAAGGAGAGAAACTGAATCATTAAGTGTTTCAAGTAACTTTCAATTCAACTTTTTTTTTCTTTTATCTCTTAAAAAGTTGAACTGTGTGGACAGTATTGGCTAAAACACACATTAAAATTAAGGCCCACAGAATAATTCACACTAGGCCTCTCGCAATAAGAATAAGAAATTGAAACGAGCTCAGTAATTTCCATTTGTCTGATTCATTATTTCTCTTTTTTCTCTTTCTACCAGAAACTGGACGATAAAAGTCTTCAGTCTGGTGTTTTAGTCTCAACCAGACCTTTCTTTAAGGACAATTTTGTTTATAGATACCTCAATTAATTTTATTTGTTGTTTCTGTTTATTTATTTTGTACATTTAAATTGTCTTCCATTTCCAGTGTTAAATGTTAATTTTAATTTAAAGTTTATTGATATTTGGGAATGCCATTATAATTATATTACTTGAAAATGGTCTCAAAACAACATTATAGTTTATTACAATAATTTGTGAGACAATTTATTGTCCATCAAAATTTGTTATAATGACATTTACAATACAGTATCACAGTACAGAAAAATATATGTGCAGTGTTATTTAAATGTAACTTTAAATAACATTTAAAGTTAACTGGAGTCTGTACACTCCAGTTAACAATTAATCGATTACTAGATTAGTTGACAATCATTTCAGTAATGGATTAATCTGATTAATTGTGATTAAAATAGCTTCTCTACTTTTTTTGAAGATGTGCAATTGGGGAAATGTTCCTGTTTGAATTATGTTGAAGAATAAAAGCAACACAAAAGCAGGTCTGGGAAAAAAGGATTAAAAGAAGGAGAAGCCTTTGTTGATGATTCTCTTTTTCATCCAGGTCATCTGAGCCTCGCTCTCCATTTTGACGCATAATCAGGTGTGTGATCATCTGAAATTTCTAATCATGAGATGTTTTCTGTCACGGGGAATCATTCTTTCAGAATTGCCAGGGATAAAGAAGCAATACTTGGGTATAAAATTTATCAAAAGTTGGAATTCAGATCATCATCAGATTTGATTTGGAAAGATTTTCAGCTTTCGTTGATCGCCTTGTTCCAACAGTTTGAGCCTCCCTCGATACCTGAGCCCTAAAACGAGGCTTTCATCTCGATGAGCACAAACAAAGCAGATGGCAGGGGGCCGCGGTGGGAGCGTGACCACGAATTATTAATCACTGATCAGCATCAGAGATCTGGAAATAGAACACACACAGTTCGGCTCAGAGATCCAGACGAGCTTTTGACCTCTGACCCGTTGCCGCTAATTGCATTGTTGATGAAGGAGCTCCCATGGCGTGGACCGGATTCTCACGCCTCCTGGTACCGAAGGGAGGCCCAACAAAAGAGAGACCAGATAGCGGCTCGGATGGAGGAAGAGCGAGACAACAGAGCAGCTACTGAATATTCCTGCTGGGACACACTGACATGTCTACCGCTGAGGAGCAAATGTCACCGCACTGCAAAAAACACCAAATCCAACACAGTATTTTGGGTCTAATTATAATGCAAATATCTTAAATAAGATAAAACTAACTTACAAGTAACTTTCCTTCAAGAAATATGAGCTTGTTTTAAGTAAATCATTTCTTAATATTGATGAAAAAGTTCTAGACACCGCCATGTTTCCTTTTATTTACTTCCTCGATAGGTATTGATGTAAAATTAATTTAAATATAAAAGAACACATTTTAAAGCTGTTTCTACCTTTTACAAGTTTAACGTAAGAAGATTTTTTTTCTGGTATACTGAAAAAACTAAATTTAATCAAATTTATATGTTTTATATATCTAAACTTTCAAGGAACTTTTAAAGAAAAAATAGGAGCTTCTTGAGGTAAGCAATTCCTTAATATTGCTAAGAAACAGGTACTGGATAAATACAACACTCATTCAGAATTAGCCAATCAGAGCCAGGAGGAAAGTGTTAACAATGTCAATCTTGCTTGTGCACGCGCCTTGCTCTTTGCTAAATGGTTTCCTACAACATAGCCTACCATGAATGCTAAAGCTAGTTAGCACATCATAAACAGAAAAACAACTTTCCAGTAACAGCAGGTTGTTTTTCTGCCATTAGCACATTAAGCAGGATACACAAGCATAACTTGCAGTGCTAAGACTCTCCTCCTGTTTATAACGTGGAGCAGCACATTACTCAGACTGCTTAGAGAGAATGGATAGCAGATTGATCTTTTATCTGTCTCATATTATACTGTCGCCATGGTTTTAACAAATATAGAAAAAACATATTTTTATAACCCTGAACCTCTAAATATTGTGTAATCTTGGGCAAGTGTTAATGATTGGCATTCTTATGTGTATTTTAGGGCTGAAAAACGTATCACGATATAAGCGTTTCATATCAGTCTGCATTGATAATTATTGATTAGTTTTTTTGTTTTAAATATCTGAAATACTGTCAAACTGGTGACATTATCTTTCCTGTTTTATCCACAGTTTTCACTCCACAATGTTTTTTTTAGCAGTTATGAAGAATGGTGGCGGAACATTAAACTGCTGCTGCGCAAGCGAACTCAGCAGGTGGTTGCTAGGTAACCAAAGAATGGTTGAGTTGCTAAGTAACCAGGGAGTGAGAGAGTGAGGTGATTCCACCAACCTTGGATCAGAGTTCAGTGAATATATCCTTTCAGATCTATTGTCTATTGATACCGATCATGTGTCTATTGTGATATATGTTGTTGATTTATTGATTGATTGTCTGGGTCCTGATCTATTTACAACAGCACATCTGTCATTGAACGTTGCACTGCAAAAACACAAAATGTTAGCAAGGATTTTTGTCTAGTTTCTAGATTAAGTGTCTGAGAACCCTTGAAACAAGACAAAACTAACTTATAAAAGTAACTTTTCAGCAAGAAATGTGAGCTTGTTTTAAGTTAATAATTTATTAATATTGATGGAAAAGTATTAGTTCTACTGCAGATTATTTAACTTAAAACATGGGAAAGTTTTTTGTTAAAAGTGAAAGTATCCGCCAGAGGAATTTGTACTTTTTCCTCAATATTAAGGAATTATTGTCCTATATTTTGCTTGAAAGTTGTTGATGCAAAATGTACTAGTTTCACTTATAACAAGACATTTTCCCATGTTGGAAATGGAACTAGCACTTTTTCATCAATATTAAGAAATTATTGACTTAAAAAAGTGTCTATACTTTGCAGAAAAGTTACTAGTAAGTTAGTTTTGTCTTATTTCAAGATATTTGCAGTAGGACGTAGACCATAAGTAGTTGGCAATATTCTGTGTTTTTGCAGTGAAGGAACGTTTCGCGAGTCGGGCTGATTTCTCTGTGATCTGTGACCGTGTGTTCGCCGCTCCAAGCGGCTCCATCAGCATCAGTGATCAATGCGGCGGCCTACCTGCCCTCCCTGGGAAGCGGTGTCCCATTTCTGATGCTTTATCCTGCTGCTCCCGCTGCAGGGACAGAGAGAACAACGAGACGTTTGTTCCTGCTGACCAAGCTTTCACTCTCCGATCCCCCCCAACTAGACAGTGGAAACCCACCACCGACCCAGGAACCATCCCCGCCATGCAACAAACAGCAAAACAAAACAACTAATACCACAGATGCACTCAAAATATGCATAATTAACAAACTGAAAATACACAACATTTTATGTATACTTGAAATAGAACTAAACTAACTTACAAGTGAGATTGGCACTTATAAATTATAATACTTTTTCATTAACATTAAGAAATTATTTATTTAAAACAAGCTCCTCTATCTTGCTGAAAAGTTACTTACAAGTTAGTTTTGTCTTATTTAAAGTGTTCTAAGAGATTTGCACTAGAAACTAGACCAAGAATACTTGGTAAGATTTCGTGTTTTTGCAGTGTGATACCTGAAAATGTTGCTATTTTTAAACAATTGGTTTAGTTTCGATAAAAAGGAATATATAATGGTTGTCTGATGTTTTACTGGTTAAATTGCAAGTTTTGTTGATACCATTTTGCGCACAAACACAAAATCTTAAGTGTTTTTGGTCTAGTTTCTATTGAAAATATGTTAGTACACTTGAAATAAGACAAACTATCCTACAAGTAACTTTGCGGGAGCTTGTTTTGAGTAAATAGTTTCTTAATATTGAAGAAAAATTACCAGTTTAATTGGCAGATTATTTCATTTAGACATTTCCTTATCTTACTAGTGATACAATCTGACAGTGGAACTAGAATGTTTTCTTCAATATTACAGAATTATTGACTTAAAGAAGCTTTTTTTTCTTATTTCAAATGTGTACTTGGATATCTGGACCAAATATTCTTCATTTTAATCACTAAAATCACCAAAAATTGTGTTTTTTAAAACTCAACAACAAACTTATTTCAAGTCTCCTAAGATCTTTGAACTAGAAACTAGACACCATTACTTTATAAGATTTTGTATTTTTTGCAGTGTACAACACACAAAAAGGAACAGTACACTTTCAAATTCACATTTCTGCTTCCATTTTTTTAATTACCAACATTTATCAACAAGCATCAACAAACAGCGGTTCTGGTTTTTCATCCATATCAAATGTCACGCTGCATATTACACTGCAAAAACACAAAATCTTATGTATTTTTTTTTCTAGTTTCTCATGCGAAAATCTGAGTTTGCTTGAAATAAGTCAAAACTAGGAACTTTTTAGCAAGAAATAGGAGCTTGTTTTAAGTCAAACTTAATTAAGTTTTAGTTCATGTTTTCATAGTTAGATATTCATCATCAAGATAACTTTTTTTTGTTATAATGTTACTTTTTTTTCTGAACGACTGTCAGTAAATTTGTGGTTTGATGTCACAAAGTAAATAAAATCATGGCCCAAGAACAGATCCCTGTGGTATTCCTGGCTTATGACAATAAAAACTATTAAAGGTAAAATATTTCAGCTTTCCGGATTTTCTGTATTTCTGTGACCAGCAAATCGTTTCAATAAAAAGAACATTAATGCTCAGTTACTTTTATCAAAAATGTCAGCCTTATCTTTATTACATAACTGCATTAACAACCATTCCCCATTGATAAACAAATATTCAATTTAAGATCTTTTTTTGGGCTAAATCAGATATTGAAATTCAGACGTTGGTAGTAACTAGCTACATTTACTAAATTACATTTACTTGAGTAATATTTTGGAAAAATAAGTACTTTTTCTTTTGTAGTACTACTCCTACTTCAGTAAAATATCTGAGTAACTTCAACACATGCAGAAAAAAACATGTTGCAACCAGAAATACATCAGATGCAAACGTAAACATACATTTTACATCAAAATGAGACTTCCTGTTTTTAATCAATCTTTGTTTTTCTAACGTTTTGCTTCCAAATATTTGTTACAGGAAAAGACCCCATCCAAGCACATTTACTATACTAGTTTTATAAGTTTTATTCCTTAAAAGTGATTTACTAGTGTTTTTTTCTCCTTAATTTGTCATTCTGTCATGGTATTAATTATTTGTATGACATAAAATACCAGAATTTATCCATAACGTTGTACTTTTATATCTGATTACATAATTGTAAAATATTGAATGAGATGTTATGATGTGCTCCAGTTGTCTTTTTGCAAAATACTTTTACTCTTGCTTTTTAATTTTACTTAATTTAAAGAAAATAAAAATAATAATAAAGTAGTACTACTGTGGAGCATCATTTTTCCTCTGTTTAAAAGCAATGCTTATATATTAACTCACTTATTTAATGGATCCCAGTTTGAATCGTTTGATCTTTCAACACCTTTGGAAAGATTTGCTGAAATAAAACAAAAATAGTAATAACAATCACAAACGATGCATAAATTAAATAGTAAAAAAAAAACAAAAAAAACAAGTAAAACAAGACCAGGTAAAGTAAGTTTTGGGAATGAAAACACAAAGCTGCGTCTTGAAATCGCTGCACGTGAGACTCACCTTGATAAATGAGGATGACGTAAACAGTTATTAAAGAGTGAGGCGGCCTCTTCCAGCTGCGCGTGAATAAATCGGGATCCATTCGTGATCCGGTCAGGGAACCAGTCGGGATCACCTGGTGAAAACCCTCCGACTGGACTCCACGCGGCGCTCCATCGGCTCATCCTCCGGCGGCCCGTCGCGCGCCTTAAGAACCGCTGCACCTGCTCATTAGCATAAAATATGCGCCGGTAGGCGGAGTCTAATCTGCCCTGCACTCATTATCGGACAGAAAAAAAAAGTAACTACTTTTTAACTTGATAGCACGCAGGGCCACAAAAACGGTGCTTTTTAAAAGAAGACATTTTAAAACAAAGTTTTAGTGTGTTTTATTATTATTAATTATTATTATTATTATTATTAATATTATTTTAGCAGTTACAATTTTATCAAAATTAACAAAATGGTCAGATTTTTGTAGAAAATAGATGTGTACATGCATGCAAAACGCAAAAAAGGCTCTAAGTTTATAAGCTGTTTGGGCTGATTAAGAAGTAAGATTTGCTTTTAGTCACCAAAATTATAGATGAATGTAAAAATGTCATTAATAAATGGGAATCTATTTTTGTACCTATTTTTTATAAAGAAAATGTTATAAATTAAAAAAAAAAAAAAATTGAAAATGTTTCAACAATTGGAGGATTTTGATCCATTTGGGCCGCCCAAAATCCAGGCCGCACTTTGTACACCCTGGATGTAGGAAATACAAAGATTTATTCTCAAAAATCATCTGTTTTATTTAATTTCTTAGACACAAAATGACCATGCTGCGCTTTGAGCAGCAGACAGTGCCTTCTAGTGGCCATTTAATATGTTGTTCGATGAAAACGCCACATAAATGGCAACACCACTCAGGAAAGTTGTTTTACTTTAAGTAACAACTATTGATTTAATTAAATAAGTGTAAATAAAAATATTAAATAGAAATTAATTAAATCATTAAAATGTTTTGTTTTTACAAATAATGTTACAAATGTTGAGTAAATTCAAATAAATTTTATAGCAAAAACTGATATTTACTAAGAATCTAAAAAAAAAATGTTGATATTACTACCTAGATAAAATGGAGTTTGGTTTACTAATTGCATGAATAATATTAAGTCAGATTTGCAATTTCAAAAATCAAAACATTTTCCTTTTCAAGCTCAGAAATTTTTTAGTTTTTCTTCCTTATCTAATATGTCGTCCTAACATGTCGTTGTACTTTTATGATCAGCAACAGAAACTTCAGAGTGGTACTATCACCACTCCAGTGTCAAAGACCTGCATTTGCATGTGAAAGCGTGTTTTTCGGCAGAGGAAACACTTCCTGTGTCCGTCAGTCAGCCATTCTGGGTAAAAAGGCCAGACTGACGCCTCAGAGACCTCAGATGCTTTGTGTGGCCAAACCAGGAAGAATCTGATTTCATAAACGGAAAGTCGACCTGCAGAGAGCAGCCAGGCTGCAGAGGAACGAGAAAATCAAAAACACTCACTGTGCAGCTCTACAATTTATGCAAAGCTACATTAGTACAGGAAATTTGGGCTTAATTTACTTCCATATGCTTCGACTAATATCTTAGCATTTCTACAGACTAAAGTAAAAAGCTGCATTTAAAACCTATGAATAAATCCAAATTTACAGACTGAAACAAGCTGTTGAACTCACACATAATAGTACACTGCAAAACAAGATATTACCAAGTATTTTTGTCTAGTTTCTACCGCAAATATCTTCGTACACTTGAATTAAAACAAAACTTACAAGTAACTTCAGTAAAAAAAAAAGAGAGCTTGTTTCACTAAATCCTTAATATTTATGTAAAATTTCTAGTATGTTATTTCAGTTTATGCAAACCAAAAACATTTTATTTAAATCAACAACAAAAAAATCATGAAGCTTTGAAACAAAATCTTTTAACATAACGAAATTTATTATTGCCGGTTTGTACCCATCAGGTTTTCCACCTGCACAATTTTCTGATTCGCTCGCAGACTAAAACCAGCTAAACACGCAGGACCTGCATGTTTATGCAGCTTCCATCTTATTTACTTTATGCTTTCAATTTTTACAACCTGCACATAAAAAATAAATCAACATAAAATCAGGTGCAATGGAAAAACAAAACATTCAGTGTGAGGAATTTGACACAAACTCAAAAGAAAAACACAGTAAGAGTAGATGAATGTCAACTTTCAAAGATCAATGAGTAAACACTTTGTTGTGTTTGAGTTTATAGAAAAGTTCATAAACAATCAGCTGAAGGAAATCTTCTGCGCTCCATTTTCAACTTCAAGTTAAAAAAGACAACAAACAAAAATGGAGGAAGTGGACCAGCAACCCCAAGCTAGTAAATCTGGATTAGTTAAACACATAAATACCAAGCATGTGTTCATCTCAGCTCCAACAGAATCATTATTTTCAGAAATGTTTCCTTATATACACGAGTTTCCCACACAGGGATCGCTCCACATTTAGTCGGTTTTCACACATCTGGCACATGACGTCTTCAGTTGTTCATTTGAGCAGAACCTAAATGATTTTACAAAGTTTTTCTACAGAATCAGCAGGAAAAAAAGCAGAAACTGACCTGATATGCACTGCAAAAACACAAAACTGAACTAAGTATTTGTGGTCTAGTTTATAGTGAAAATATCTTGGTGCACTTGAATTAAATGTTTTGTTATAAGTGAGATAATCTTCCAGTCAATATTAAATAATTGACTTAAAACAATATATCTATATCTTGCTGAAAAGTTACTTGTTAGTTCAAATGTACAAAGATATTTGAACTAGAAAAATACTTTGTAAAATGTTGTGTTTTTGCAGTGTAACTCACCTGTTTCTCCTAAAAACTTTACGTTTCTACAGACTAAACATAGTAAGTAAGCGGCCATGTGAAACAGCGAATTAAAAAGGTTCATAGTGTGTGTGTGGATCTTTGGATCGAGTCCTGTAAGCCGATGAGCTCTCGGCGTTATCTGGGCCGGTGGTTGGCCAGCAGGAAGTCCTTGTCTTTGCAGGTGAGGCAGAGTTTGAGGTTCCTCAGGGAGCCGCCCGCAGTGTAAAACGCCCAGACACCCATGAAGAACATGATGATGTAGGTGGGAACCAGGCTGGAGACGTACTGCGGATTCTGGAAGGTCTGCAGGGGAAAAATTTACAAATTAATCATCATTTCTCATTAAAACTTCTTAAAATTCTGTTGACAACGGATGTGAAAAAAAAATTATTTGCATATAAATAAAAGGAAAAAAAAAAATATCGGTAGGTGATAAACAATTTAGCTCCACAGAGGCCTGGTAACAAGCAATTAATTTGATTCAAGTGTATGGAGCTAAATTGGTGCCATTAAGTTTGTTTAATTTTTTTTTTCTAAACTGTCAAAATTTTGAAAAACAAAAAAGGGATTTTAAACAAAAAAAATAGTTCAGAACTACGACAACATATTAAGGCCATTGTTCATAGAAAATAAATGCATAAATTTCTGAAAAAAAAAAAAAAAACCTCAGAAATTATCTAGAAAAAGCAAGGACATTTCTGAGTTTGGATTGTTTAGATTAATCTCAGAAATTTTCCAGAAAACGAATACATTTTCAGCTTTTGAAACTAAATTTTCTATGTTTATCACAAAAAATTAATCTCATTATTTGAGGGGTTTTGTTACTTTTCTTTTTTTTTCTTTTCTATCTATGATGGCCCTAATCTGCCATAATAAACTACTTTATTGATTTATTTTTCTTTTTTTCCCCCAGTTTAATACATTATTGCCCACATTTGGCTCCATGACTGTTAACCATGATTTCACACCTCCACACAGACCCCCCCACCCACTTCTGTCATTTTTCCATTTCAAATCCTTTTTCCCCTTTTTATTCCCGTTTCATTTTTTTCTGTTATGGCCCCAACTTAGCTCCATACATGCAGAAAGGAAGCATTCAGAAGCAGCAGAGCAGTAGTAGCTCTGGAAGACTGGACCAACATGTAAAATGGGTCATTTTGCTTGACTATTTAACTTCTAGTTGGATGTCTTAATATTATGTCAATAACTAATAAAATCAAGAATCATAATACAAAATTAGAAATTTAGTGGTCATGTTGGAAATGTGTCTGTGGAAAAATCTAACAAATTTCAACAATAAGGTAACAACCCAAACAATAACTACATAATTGTAAATAATTATTTATTGGGAGAGAAGTTTACTCACCAAGGAGGAAACCAGGAGGTGAGTGGCGACGACCGCAGCTACGGCTAACCAGCGCTGCTTCTCACAGCCGTCGAAGAAGATGACGCCCCAGAACATGTGAAGCAGGATGATGGCCATGGTCATGAAGGCTGAGGAATTTAAAAACAAATGTGAGGGATATTTAAAAAACCCTTTGTTTTGTTGGGAGTCTAGCATTTAAAAAAATACACAAAATGCTAATGAAGTGTTTTTGGTCCATCTTCTAGTGCAAATATCTTAGTACACTTGAAATAAGACAAAACTTGGTTACAAGTAACTGTTCTTTAAGATATAGAAGCTGGATTAAAGTAAATAATTCCTTAATATTAAATAAAGGAAGTACTAGTTCCACTGGCAGATTATTTCACTTAAAACAAGTTATTTTTAAGTGAAATAAAATGCCAGTGGACCTAGTACTTTTTAATCAATATTTAGGAATTATTTATTAAAATCAAACTCCTATATCTTGCTGAAAAGTTCTAAGATATTTGCAGTAGAAACTAAACTAAAATTACTTGGTAAGAATTTGTGTTTTTACAGTGTCAGAGTATTCACAGACCCTTCAAAACCTAAATTCTCTACAAGTGGAGGTTATTAAAAATAAACTGCTTTAATTAAACTTCTGGCAGTTTTAATAATATGTTTATATAAAATAACAAATTCTATAATAAAACAGAAAAAGATCAAGTCAGAAAAATAAGTCTGAATGTCTCAATTTGAACTCAGGTTTTCTACGTGATGATCATTTGTAAGCAGTAATTTCAGAGTTAAAAATGCGTATTTGAATGCATTACAGTAGGTACCACAAACAAAGAAGTAGCTAGTTAAATAAGGAGCATTCAGGAAGTGGTACCTGATGACAGGAAGTAGTGTTGAGAGTCGCCGTGGATGCCCACAGTGCCTGGACCCACAGAGTCGGCCAGGATGTTGACCACAGAGAACGCTCCGCTCATAAAGCCAAAGCCGAGGCCGGACACTGACACAAAACAACAACAAAGCATAAGAATATCCCTCTGGAAACCTAATATAACCAAAAGTCCTCTCTGTAAAACTGTTTTATTCATTTATTTGCATAGAAGAATCCTAGCTGGAACTTTTCTACTGTGTTTCTGGTACGCCCATTAATCTGACGCACAAGCGACAGTAATAATAATAATAATAATAGATTTTATTTATATCTTTAGATCTCAAAGGGCAAAAGCAAAACAAGCAGTTTTAATTACTAAAAATAATTTAAAAAATATCTAAGAAAATGAACCAAATATTTTGCTAAAATTAAATGTCTTAAGGGCAACAGCAATGGACGACAAAACCGATTCTCTGGGGATAATTTCTGCTTCAAAAAACAATCTGATTGGAGGCTGAAAAAAACTATTATTACATTCAAGTTGTACTAAAAGGAGTTAGCCTATCAACAAAGCTAATTAAACCTAAAACAGCGTCTCAATGCTAGACATGTAGCAGCTAGCACAGACGCTGACATTAATGTCATTAATGTTAATTTTTAAAGAAGCTCCGTGAATGATAAGCGCTGGAAAACTAAATATCTAGAATAGCACTTTGCACCAACTTGATGGTTAAATAACCTAAATAAAAGATTAAAAACAACAAATATCTTTGACGCTGAGCTCATATGTCTGTATATTTAATCGTTTCTGAATTGAAAGTGTTGCTTATGTTGTTAATCATGGTTTTAGATTTAAACTAATTACAGACAATTGATTAGTAATTCTGATTAAGTTTCACTTATTATTTAAATGACCCTGAATCCAAAGTAAGCGCAGCTGATCCGTACCATAGGCGAGTTGTCGTATAGATATTGGCATCGTTTCCTCTTGACTCAAAGCAAGAAGGCCTTCATTTGCTTTCCTGCAGGAAAAAAAAAATTACATTTGCTCTCGCTTTATGTTTTGTATAATGAATGAGAAATGATGTTTGTCAAAAATATGTTCAAAAACCAGCCGGAAAAGTGTAGAACAAGTGAAAATTTCCCTTTTTGTTAAACAGACAATGGAGTCGGTGTGGTGGGAAGACGCTGAAGCAGCTTACTTGAGCAGTTTGTAGTAGGCGAAGCGGAAAGTTTCCTGCAGCAGGACGGACAGCACCACACCGAAGATGAGCAGACCCTTTTGCTGCGACGCGCTCTCCTTGTTACTGATCTGAACCGAGATGAACCACACCAGGGAGGCCAGCAGCAGCGACACCAGCCAGAAGAATGCCCTAGGAGGAAAAAACAAACACAAAAAGATGAGAAAAATGTCAGTTTTTATCTCCAAGATGTAAGCATTAATGAACACATGAGTTACTTTAGCAGAAAAAAAGAGAATTTATTCATAAGCTTTTCATGCAGGTTCAGCTCGATGAGGAGCTTTCGCGCTCTAGTCGGAGTCACGCATCACGCTGATTTCATATTATTTTATTATTATTTTTAGTATTATTTTCCCGGTTACACGACGCATTAAAACCATATCAAATGTTTGTTGTCTACTTTCTTTGTTTGTTGTCTACTTAGTGTTAATGCACGCGGAGATCTGAGAAACTCGTCCCATAAACTCGACTAATCAAAACAGTTTCTGTGACAACTAAAAACTCAGACACAAAATGGAAGAGCTACTAAAGCCACATTAGCAGCATTGAATTAAATCTCCCGTTTGTTGCGCATCTCTGCACAGTGCAGCAGATTTGACCCATCATGCAGGGCTGGTCCAAGGCTGTAT